TTGTTATAGAGTAGACCGATTACTGTAAATATGTACATTTGAACCGAACTTGTATGCATGCAAATTACAGCGGTAAAAATCTAATACGAGTACTTTATAGGAACCATCCAAACATTAAAATGATTATGTTATTCTTAAAGACCACAATCGGAAATAAGTGTGCAGTCCGCTTATTATGTGTTTTCATCCTCGATAATTATCAGTCCTGCATATTGGTTTATTATGCTCTATCATTGTAATGTATGCTTTTTAATATCGAAACTAAACAATCTATTATCTATCCTCATACGCGTTTGTGTCCTATACGGTCGTACTACCAACTACGGAAATGAAACTGTTCGAGTTGCAGCGTTGATGTGACATATCTATGAATATATAATATTAATTATTCTCTAGCTAATGCAATGTCTGTGATCAGTATACTACATACCTTATTATTATCTAAGTTACTATAAGTATAACCACTGAGCGTAGCTGACACATTTTTCCTGTGAGGGGTGTAAGCAAATACACGATCTATTCGGTATACTCAATAGACAATACTTGTATTACGTTTTATACGTACGATCCGATTCTTGAGTGTATAATTTAATAAAACCACGCTTGACACTAAGCCAACTATTGATCTAACGGCAACTTACGCTTAGCCGAGCGATGATTAGCATGAAATATATAGCTCGCAAGAAACGGTCTGCTAGGGTCAGAAGACCGTATAGACAGAGTAGTACAATCATCGCACGAGACCGCCACAGTCCTCGCGGACTAGAGCCGTAGACGAATACATGCTAAACGTCTTTCAAGCTCCAGTTGCTATCGACATTTTCTCTCGCAGTCGTAGTTGTTATATAATATCCTCCGAATTTACTTCATACCGAATTTCCATCATACAAAATTTTGATTCTCATTTCGCTTATGTACATCGTTTGTGTTATAAAACTAAATGTTTAATATCAGAAACGAGAAATTTGCCATAACCGCCATGCTGTGTTTACAATAGCCTCCCGCACTGTGAGGGCCGCTGTTCGTCGCTTCGCTGACTGGCGTCATTTGTTAAGTACCAGGGAGATGGGCCGAATCAGCCCTTCTAGCCGTTACCTCTATCTATATTCTATGCTTACAGCAGTGATGCCAGCGGCCCTCAAGCGGGCCTAACAGAATATCTATTCAATATTAATATAAGTACGTATATAAGATGATATATTATAATTACTAGTCCATGCCGTTAGTGGTCAGAATTTTCTGTGCTAGACCACATTGTATGATGGAACGTTTATTGTGTCCTAAGGCGTCTATCAGCTAAAATCAATAATCTTTATTCTAGGAATACTTTATATGCAGGGCAATTTTCCACCGCGGTCTAGCAGTGAGCGTAGAACTGCCGCCGTGACTGAAGAAGTCTTTGACAGTGTAGATACCGACCATGGGAGAAGCACTGGAAGGACTGTTCCGTGTGACTTAATTGCTGACTGTCCATCGCAAGCAAGGGCGAATTCGGGAACTGGCGCTGTGATCATGTGAAACACGCACACGCACGACGCACACGCACATCACATACAGCACGCACAGCCACTGACACATACAGACGCACAACTCATCACGCGGCACCACACGCACACGCACAACGGCACGCGCGACTGCGCGCAATCAGCAGTTCTTGACACGAGGCGAGCTATCTTGCGGCGCGGCTATCTTGTCGATGCTTAAATTAATTATTAGTGCATCACATGATAAATCGTTGAAATTCTAATTGATACACGTCGCAGTTGTGGTGGGGCGCACTTAATGCTGTATAAGTGTTGCTTTGGGACAAGTGAAATAGTGCCCCCAAACAACAAATATAATATATAAATATCTCCGAACGTGTCAGTGATGGCCTT